ATATTTTTGCCTTGAATTTTGCTATAAATTAAAGGTTATGCAAAAATACTGCAGTTAGATTTGCAAATGACTCATTGCTAGAACCGGATTTAATGGATTTATGGAATAAAGTCATGGAATTAAGGCTTATATATGCTGTAAGGTTCTCAACACTTATTCAAAAGGCAACCATTAAAATTAAAATGAGTTAAGAATATTGCCACACGTGTTGCTAGTTTAAGAGCGCGAGCTGCTGATGACTGCAATGATAATTTAGAAAGCGAAATGTTTTTTATACTTCTTTAAAAACTTGCTATTCCTAGCAGTTTTAGTTTCCTCTTTCTACGTTTGCGTGGAAGAGTATGCTGCTGGAACTGTATCCTACCGATTAGCGGCGCTCTTTATCGTAAACTTTGCAAAATGGTGTAAAAGCTCATCTATATCGCTGTTGAACTTTATTTTGGTTGGCATTTTAGCGCAAAAAGTATTTTCGAGAGAGTTTCGGGAAATGCTGTCGCGTCGATAGTTCTTAGCCGTATAAAAATCAGATTCTAATTTGGTTGGAAAGGCTCAAATCGCAATGGATAGGAAGCTTTTTCTTTCGGTGAGCAAGAAAGCTCTTGCAGAAAGGTAATATAAGTTGAAATATTTAAACAAAATTGGACAAAACTTGTTCCGAATCCCGTAATGAATTTTTACACGCTAGAAAGTTTGCCTAAGGTAGAAAGTATGGGTCAAAGTATGTGAAGAAGTTCTATAGCTAGCTAAGAAAAAATGATTTGAATTCCTTTGTATTATTTATACTCTTGAAAGACTAATTTGAAGTTCTATCTACCAGAAAGTTGATCAGTTGATGCATAAACCTTTAGATAATTGTATAAAGCTCCCACAAGACCAGTTTGTCAGAAAAAATCGATTAACTCTGTATAGCGTACAGGATAGCCGAAACTACGATAGTATTCTCGAAAACAGTCCAAAACATATACAAATTATCTAGCTAAGAATTACAGTTAATCATGTATAAAATAAAATTTTAAGGACAACTTTGATCCAAGGGCAGACTCAAGCCGTAGAGAAAATGTCAGCACAGAAAGTCTTCCAGCTATATGTACAACCCACAGAAGAAATAAGCGATACCTACATCTAGGAACTAATACTATGGTGCGATTTTTTTGTGTATTGAAGTGAAGAATGTGCTTTATATAGTTAGCTAAAAATACAGTGATGCTGAGTCTATATAGCACTTCTATTTACAAAATTGTAATAATACATACATAATTGTATATCTGTGGTTATATGTAAAAATGGCTTAAGTCGCTTAAAGCTAAAATTTGATGTTTAAAAAAAGCTTTAGGCATACATTTTGGTACTATTTTAACTGAATTTGAAGTTTTCAACTATAATGTATTGTATGAAAGCGAAAGAAATCATCAAGCCTCGTAAAACTTGGTTCGCTTTAACGCAAATGTCATCATTAACATAAGTTGACTTAAGCCGTTTTTAGATTTTACCATATATACGAGTAAATTTAATCTTAGGCTCGATTCTTGTAGCTTTGTAAGCACTGCTTATGTGGTTAGAAGCTCTTTTTATTCTTAAATGTTATTTTTGGAGTCAATACTGCACTTTTCGACTACCGACAGAGACCTTCTATAGCTGGAAGGCTTCAAAAAACCATTACTTATAACCAACTAAATGTAATTGATTACTTTTTGGTAATTATGATTTGTAATGACAATAATTATACCTCAATCACTTCTGCTTCACGCTTTATGTGTTGTTTCCGCATTTTATCGCTAACTCTGCAGCTTCCGCCATATATTTTCAAATAAATTAACACATCAATTATCTTTTAGAGATCTCCTAGTTCAAAATTACACGTTAGAAATACAAAAAAAAAGTTGACTGTTTCTTAATTAAACCGTTAAACAATCGCGCACAGAACACAGACTGCTTTCGTAGGCAACTCGAGACGATCTCATAATAATCTACCAACAAGTTACACAGACAACTGCTCCAGTTAGCTGAACTTAGCAAAGAATATTTAAACATCTTTACAGAAATAATATATTTTTATCTTTACGTTTGTATGTGTGCTCTCACACATTTACACACAGCTTTAGCAGCTTTTATCAGCTGTTTTTATCGAAGCTTCTGCTTATCCAAATAGATAGCTGCAGCTAAATTGTTTATATTTTTATCTAAAGTGATGGCTATGTGTGGGTAAAAATGTGATTATGTAGGTATATAACTTCAATTTGCTAGCTATTTGCTTTATAACTGTTTATTCTTTATATATTCTATCAGCGCTTGAGTTACACTTGTCCAAACAGTTGTGGTTTGGTATGTTTTACGAAATAATTCAAGTTCAGTATTTAAAAATAATGGCATAAAAATATATAATTATTTCGTGAAGCTTCAAGCAAATCAATATTGAAGCTGGTTTTGGGTGCGGTATTATTTCCTTGAACTTAGAAAACTACAAAAGTAGGCGTTTAATAATAATTGTGGTTATTAATGGAATATGGCTCGTAAGCAATATTTGAATTTTAGTTGTATAAGCCCAGATCACAAAGAACACGAAAAACCTTAACTTCGGTTGCACCGAAGCTATAATGTCCTCTACATATACAAAAGATATACAAGCACTATATTCCGATCGTTTAGTTTGTAGGACAGCTATATGCTATAGTAGTCCGATTAGAAAATTTTTTTTCAGCGCTTGTAATGCTGTCTCAACCAATAATCCGTGCAGAATTTCGTGAAGATATCGCTTTGAACAATAAAGTTTTGCTTACCACAACATGGCTTTGATCCTTCAGTTTGTATGGCAGCTATATGCTATAGTGGTCCGATTGGAACAATTTTCGGAGTTTATACAGCAGTCTCGGAAAATAATTCGTGCCAAATTCCGAGAAGATATCTCCCCAAATTAAAAAGTTTTCCATAAAAGTACTTCATTCCGATCGTTCAGCAGCTATATGCAGTAGCTATCGGCAGTTCCGCTAAATGAGCACCTTGTTGTGGGAAAATCAAAATTTCAGATCGATATCTCAAAAACTGAGGGACTAGCTCGCAAATATACAGAGAGACGAACATAGCTAAATCGACTCAGCTCGTCACGTTAATCCTTTATATATATATACAGACAGACGGACAAAGCTAAATCCATTCAGCTCGCCACGTTGATGATTTATAACTCGTACTTTAGAGGATCTCCGACGCTTTCCACTATGTGTTTCAAACTTCATGTTAGACTCAATAGGGGGTATATTTCAGGGTAGTTCATAATGTGGCATAGCCCAAGACCTGGTTAAATTAAGTACTGCCAAATATTACTAAGCGTGAAATAAAACACTCAGCATAAATATCATAATATAACATAAAGAACATACCAAAACAATTTTATAACTGCATGGTTTCACAAAAAAAGTGAGAAAATGTTGAGCATATGTTAGCATAACATAAATTAACACTACATATGGTGAAAACTTGAGAGCAAGATATATTTTTAAGAACTCTAGCTGATATACCAAATCGCCGAATCCTGATAACATTCGAATCCAGACAAACTCCCAAATGATTTCTTACCAATATAAAGAATGTTCAGCACAGAACTGTTCACCAATTATATGGGCACATATCCATTAAGTAGGTAGGTAAATGTGCTGCCCCTTCGGGAGCAGAAGCGCCATTTTGATACACTATCGTAAGACCTTATATCTTGATATCACGTTCCATTGTTGTGTTCAAACCATTTGGTGCCCCCAATGAAACTACTTATCTGCGTTATGCTTTTTGTAGCTAAACATTCAAGGTTTGGTAACTGATGGAATCCAAAAGTTCGATTTCTGATTTGTGAAAGAGCTGGGCACTCACAGAGGAAGTGTAGAATTGTTTCCTTGCTTTCTTCGAGTTTGAAGCTACGGCAAGTGCTATAATAGGCGCTATTTTTAACGCATGGTCTCCAAATGGCCAATGCTCCGTTATGGTTCTTGTATGTCTTATATACACTTTTTCTGGACCTATATAATAAGTCCATAGTTTTTGTCTTGCCATAATTTGGCCATATCTGTTTCGCTATCCTATACTTGGTTGTGGATTTCCATCTATTTTGGGCTATTTATTCAAATGGCGTATTGAGCTCCCTCTCTGCCTCGTATTCGTCTAGAGATGCCTCTGACTTAACCAACTCTTTCGTTGCCGAAATGTTCCTGTGACCATAATTCATTCTTCCTGTTTCAATAAATCAACAGATTCACTAAATTTGAGGAAAAATATTTCTCGAGTAAACTTAAAAGAAAATATCTATCTTCACTAGCTATTTTCTGCAACAATTAAAACCAAGCAGAATATTATATATATAAAAAAAATCCTACGATCAAGCGTCATGTTTTCAAAAAGCTATACAAATTTTATAGAAATCTACCGAGCGGTTATCGAGCTACAGTCACCAGCTCAAAAAAAATAATTTTGAGAAAAAAGCATTTGAAGTTTTACATTAACGTTCCAAAACGCCCAAGAGCCCATTTACTAATAATCAAATAACTCCAAATGTTCTATTTGTCGGCTTTACTGCAAATTATCAGAAAATATTTCGAAGATTTCATCTTTTAAGAAAATACAAAAAATAATATTTTTTTTTAATTGTGACCCCTAACACCTTGTCAAAACAGAGTGAAGGTATTACAAAGTGTTTAAATCAAGCCTTTTGAAGTTTTTGAGAAAACTATTTGTAAACTACCTAAAATTTTATAAATTTAGCTTTTAGACATTTAGGAATATTATTGCCATATTGCGAAAAATAAAACTGAATATTTTGTTAAGTATGTGTTCAAAATGAAGCTCTGAGCTTTAATTAATCCCTAACATTTTTTTCCCGCCAACCAAAATTATTATAAATATATTTATCCGCTCTGCAAAACATAACACAACATAAAGCTCTAATTAGATTTCTACATTTTTTTTTATCAACTAAAATATAGTTTTAAACTTTTCTGTCGACAAATTAAAAATCTCTATATATTTATAATCTTTTATTGACGAACTTCTACAACATTGCGGTGTATGTTTTTTAAAACACTTATTTTTTCAATAATTCAAATATCAATTTTATTAATTTAGTGAAACTTTAAATGCTCTCCTGAGCTCACTCCCAACATATTTGGACGCCTTGCTCTTCTTGCTTCTTCAGTTCGCTCAAAATGAATTCCCTGAACTCTGCATATGCCACATCAATATCGACATTATGTATGATCTTATGGAAGTTTCCATGCTTCAAACCATAAGCTATCTCCGCCTCGGCAGCGGCAAGTCGCTTCTGCAACGTCTCCTCCGTTTCGCTTTGGCGCTTGCGCAAACGCAACTCCAAATCTTTTATTGTTGGTGGATTATTAAAAACCAGTATGGGATTCAAATCAGTTTTCTTAATTTGCTCCACACCCTGTGGTTCGATATCTAAGACACACACTTTGCCGGTACTCTGGATCTCAAGCACCGCGGCCTTGCTTGTGCCATACATATTGCCACTGAAAGTAGCGGTTTCTATAAACTCATCATTTGCTATCTTTTCGCGCATCATTTGCTCTGCAATAAAATAATAATCTTTGCCATGCTGCTCACCGGCACGTGGTGTGCGTGTCGTGTGTGATATGCTGAAACCGAAGGTGTTCGGATATTCCTCGAAGAGCCGCTTAAGCAAAGTACTCTTGCCGGAGCCAGAGGGGCCGCATAGCACCAATGGACGTGGTCCTTTTGTTACAAGCTGAGTGCACATCTTAAGGGTGATATCTTTCTTTGCACCGGCTGCTTTTAAGGCATGCAACATTTTGCGATGCAGAACGCAGTGTAGAATTCTAATTGCCTGGTTGTTTGTTAGTTCTTATTAAGCGGCTCACTGCTGTTACAACGAACTTTTTATTGTTGGTCAAACAGGCTGACGTTGACCCTAAAACGATATAAAAAATTTACTTGAAGCCCAGTTTCGTAGATATTTCGGTGCTATTGCTACAATACTCAGAGAAACCGGAACTAAAATAAGCTATTTCTTCAATTCTAGTTATACAAATAATAAACTCGTTGCAATGGATCGATCTGATAAGAAAACGTCGAGTAAATTCAGAAAATTGTATTAGAAGAATGTGACATGAAAGTGCAAGTCTTAGACAAGCATGCAGGCATATTTAGAGAGCGGATTTGCTGTAGTTTTTATAAGCTTTCAGAATAGTCTGGTTTATCTAAACGGAATATAGCAAGTTTTCAATTTCCAAAACTCCCTTTGACATAGTTTATGTCAACCTTAACAGTTTTGTGTGACAATATGAATGAGACTCTGGATTTCAATAAAAGGAGCACAAGCAAACATATTAAAATACCCAATAGTCCAGAAAGTATTTATAGACCTGAACGATGGTGGATTCGACGGGCAGAATGATAATCTCTAGATTTCTTTTCTATTGTATTATAAATTTCTTTTTCAAAATACTGGCTATGACTATGAAAGATATGATTCATAATGACTGCAAGAACTATTAGCTTTGAGGTGAACCAGTGAGGCTCAATAAGTGCAATGATATTAAGGGCGATGCCGGCAGTAGCTTAGCTACTGGTAGAGCTGCCCAAAACGGTAAAGTCGAAGGTGAGTTCCAAAGCTGAAAGCATCCACATAACACAATCCTTCTGCGAGGGAGGGCATAGCGGCTGTTTCCCATGATAGTAACGGATGCCGGGCATTTGTCTTGAAGCAAGCGGCTCGCATTATAAATGTCAATTTTTATGGCAGGTTCATAGATTAACCTAGCAGCCCTACCAACGAACTAAAAAACCTGAATAATCGCCTATCTTTCTAATGATTCTTTATTACTGAAACCAAAAAGATAGGCCCTACGCTACAACCGGAATTAAAGGAAGGATGAGTATAGGAGAGAGAGATAGAAAACACTTTTCAAGTGGTGTTGCTAGCTTGAACGATTTTAATTTTACATAGTGCAGGAGAGAAAGTACGACCAACTATTTTTTAAGTAGTGCTGCTAGCTAGAAACTTATTTATGTTTTTTATTAAACAAATGAAATCTTTTTCGAATCACACTATGTAACACAATTAAAATCGTTCATTGATTGATCCTTTTTCTTATTATTATATTATATACGTATTATTATGTATATACTTTTTAGGGGGTTAGATGAAGCCAGCATTAAGCATTTTTTTAAGTATAATATCTCAGAAATATTCTATGAAAATTTTAAGTAAGTTCGAGCAATATTTTTCGAGTTCTTCGATAATGAGAAAAGTGTTCTCAGGCGCTCCGCCACGTTAGTGTAAAACTTCAAATGCCTTTTCTCAAAACTATGTTTCTTGAACTAGATCAGTTTAGTTCCACAACCGCTCGGTAGACTTCATCGAAATTTATACAGAGTTTTGAAAACATGAAAAACTAGTGCATCTGATTTAAGCTTTTTTTTAATTTCGATTATTTATTGAGTTTTTTCGGAAAATCTTGAAAACATTTTCTTGAGACCTGTTTATTAAAAAAAAGCACTAAATTTTCTATTTTCCTTTTGTCCGATTGATTTTAGTTGAACCTCCAAGGATTAGTAGCGGTCACCGCAAAGAACTCCGGTTGTAACTGGATCAGCACAAACAGTCATTATTTTTAAAATTGTTAATTTAGTTATTTTTTTCAAATTTCTATCAAGTCAAGTCGAAACCTTTTTTATTGATGCTAAGTTTTCATCTTTATAAAATAAAATAATTTATTGGCAAAGAAGTAACTACTTTAAAATTGTAATTTTATCATGTGACTACACATAAACATCTTAAAATAATTAGTCGGTCACTCACGGCATTGCTCAGAAATGTTACCATATTTGTTAAAACTGTTAACAAAAATGCGCACATGCGGCCAGAATTAACGGATTATGAATTTTTATTTTTGACTTCCAACTAAAAGTGCATGATTTATTGCCAAAAAATATGAAAACTGTTACAAATTTTGAATATTAATTTTTAAAACTTTGTACAATATTTTTTGCATATTCTTGCATAAACAAGTCTTACCGATTGCGAAATTGCTCCAAATTTACACGAAATTCATCCACCAGCCTTAAGTCAAGGTTGACCACTAAGCTCAGCGTTGATTAAATTATTATTCTTTCCTTATTTTTTTGCAAAACTACTAACAGAAATATTACGTAAAGGCAACACTTCTAGAATAACTAGAATTACTATTAATTTTAATTTTTATTTATTTATTTTTGATTGATAAATAGTTGCCGTTTCGATTTCACTTGTCGTGAGTTGCTTTTGGCTGATGTGTTGTTGTATTACATCACCGCTTCGTTGCAGATGGCTTGCAGAGTTGGTCGTTAACGAACTGGTTATATTAGACTAAAGTTGCTTGCTTAGCAAATACTAAAACACTTACATAAATTGGCATTTGCATTTAGTTGCAAGCTTGTGGCATATTTAATTAGAATCGTATTAATTAGATTATGTAATCAGTAGCGATTTCTTAAGTGATTGTAAGTGACTAGTTGGCAGAATATTAAAGAAAAAAAACCGATAAATCACCTGCTAGTGAGGTTTTTTAGCAAGAAAAATAATGTACTAAATTATATAAACTTCCACACGAAAGTGTCGAAGTTTAACAGAAACCTCTGTGAGCAAGTCAATTGTCGAGAGCACTCTGTAAATATAGTTTCCAGTCTTCAGACCAAGATAGCTGTTTAAAGCAAATGCCATTTAGTTAGCAGTAGAACTACTGAAGTGTAGACTCTTTCAAAAAGGTTTGATAGTAGTACAGTCATATTGAGTTCGTTGGCCTTTCGCTCAAGTAAAGTTTAGCTTATATTCACACCCGATTACATCGAGCTACGCATATGGGATTGTCCAACAGGCATTCATGCTCTAATGCTGAAAATCCAATCGGACGCAAATTGTCAAAGTTGTATGGCAGGAAGTGTGGTGGAAACATCCAGGCACTGTCTCCGCCATTGTTCAGCTTTGGCAAGACTAAGGTTGAAACATCTGGGCCGCTCCTCAGATAACCAGGAGACAGAGCCGAAGCAGACAATAGCCACCTCAACAGATTTTGATCGGCTCAACAAATTTGTGTACGGTTTGTCGATTTATGAGGCACTTTATGATAAATTTTTATGGGAGTTTTGTGTTAGGTACAACCGGTTTTAGGTACAGAGCGGGTTTATAAGCTGTCGTAACGTGTAACGTAACCAAAGAAACTGTGCAGATAATAAGCTGGTAGAAAAGTGACCTTCTTCGAAATATTGTCTTCATGGAAGTAGATGGGAGTTTTCTTATCTGCCACGCACAAGAGCTGTTGTGCTGTTGGATTCAGTTGAACCTCTTGCGACCGATAAAGTAAGTCAAGAAGTCCCTCTTTTGCGATACTAAGGTTGCAGCAACTTTCTACTCCCTTAGTTAGGCATTCACAGCAACTATTTGGTAACAAAATTAATCATCCGAGCAAATTTGTAATGAGCTTAGGACGTCTTGTCGGTATACAAAGACTTAATCACGCTTCTTGTTTCTCTCAGCACCGCAAAGAGTACGACTGTGATTTATAGAGCGTGGTCTCCCAATTTGACGATATTTGATCCACGACAAGTTGGGCAGCAGAAATCAAGAGACTTGTCATTTCTTTTGAAATGCTTATAAATAAATAAAATTAATATCTGGAATATTAATGGTGTTTCCTTCGTAATTATCCTGGCCTCAGATACACTATATACCTTTTACAAAGCTACTCCAAATCCTCTTTAACATTTAAACACTGCTTGGGCAGTTTAGTTAAGACAGGAATGCTACTACTTTCTCTGTTCACCGCATAACTCCATAAGAATCATGGTTCATTCATCAGTTTTACTATCAATACTTTCTGCATGGTTTAGTAGAGCCGACTGTGATACAGTACACCTTTGCAAGAATCATACAATTCTCAAAACTGTCACCTCACCGTCACAGTGAATCACAAACTGGTTCCAATTGTTATTTCACTCAACTTTTTATACCCGACTTAATTCCATTATGCATTTTAATAAGCGTTAAATCCGCAAGCAATTCACTGAATTATAGATTTTATTATGCTGCAAAGCCAAAGGGAACAAATAGCACAGTTATGAAGTAATACTCAGAAATGTTTGCATTAATTGAGCGCAATTCCAATTGTTTGCCTTCGATGATTTATTACAGGTAGTTCATATTGTTGCCATTGACAGTTATGAAACAGGTGGAGAAGGAAAAAGAAAAAAGAGATTATAACATAAAATACCATAAAGATTTGTAGTAAAAAAGTAGAAAGACAGACATTTTTATTGATAGAATGCGGAACAAGTGTGGCATGTCGCTGAGTTCTTTTCAAATGGCTCGAAAATAAAGTGTAATAGAAGCCAGAGCAGTTTTCTTGAATTTGCCACTTCTTTCTGCCTCATGTCTGAGCTCGGTTATTTCGTCAAGAAGTTCACCTGTGGAAACAACAAAGTAAGTAAAAGTAAAATCATCTAATTAATTGAAATATTAAGATGCCTTTTCTAAAATGTATATAACCTCTTGCTTTTTTAACAAAATTTAATTATGCCAGCGTGTTTAATTTATACCAGTGGTTTGTTCGATGCGGCATTTTGGTGTACTTCAATATATTTTATATAGAATTGTTATACCAGTAAAACTTGCTTACTACTTGAACACGATTTGAGTGTGACCAACTATTTTATTATTTGATTCATAACAATTGTGTATACCTTTTCATATATTTGCTCGAGTTTATCATACAACTTATGCTCCCTAAATGCTTAAAGCTTAAAATCAGAATATCATCAATTTGTATCGTAAGATGAAAGTTTTGTATGGTATGAAAGGTTTTACGGTACCAAACTTTAAGCCCACATTCTTCTTAATAATTATAAAAGCAGTGGTCAGGATATTTCTCGTCC